GGAAGCCAGTAAAAAAAAAAGCATCGATAAGCAGGCCACCTCTGCGGGCAGGTGGGGCTCAGGCCTGCTGAAGACCCTCCAGGGAAGCATCAGAACTGCCATCTATCTGCAGCTCCCATCCCTCACTGGCCATGGGCCACCCTGGAAGTGAAACCCCCAGGCTGCCCTGCTCCCTGTCGGTGTGCATGGGAACTTCCCGTGGCTGTAGGCGAACCCAAAGCTGGGCTGAGGGGCTGTGGGCCGGGGCATCGGCCGAAGTTTCCAGCACTAAACCTCAGCCTTTCCTCCGAATGCACAGTCCTTCTGCCAGCGTGCCTGACGATGCAAGCCCCCCTGCCCCCCTACTCCTCCCCAGGAAAGGGTGTGGGCTGACCCGCTGGCCCTAAGAGGGCATCTGACAGAGCTGACTCTGTAATTTTGACAGCCTCTCCAGGTGAGTCTGCTGGGTGGACAGGCTGGATAGAACATTCTGGAGGATCTTCGAGTTTCCTTCAGAGCCTGAGAGTCAAGACTTTGTGTTCTCCCCAAGGTAAAACGAATCTCCATATACTGAGGGCAAACTCCATAATGTGTACTGCAAACTCGGATAATGCGCAGGTACAGACTCCGGTAACGCGCAGGTGCAGACTCGGATAACGCGCGGGTGCAGACTCGGGTAATGTGCAGGTGGGAACTCGGATAATTTGCCGGTGCAGACTTGGATAATGTGCAGGTGCAGACTCAGATAATGTGCAAGTGCGAGCTTGGATAACGTGCAGGTGCAAACTTGGATAATTCGCCAGTGCAGACTCGGATAATGCGCAGGTGTGAACTCCAATAAAGTGCTAGTGCAAAAGGCAGAGGCCCTACCTTGGAAGGGTAAAACCCAACATGAAATCTGCTGGAAGGAAGGGAAAAGTATGCTTTGAGAACACTGAGGAGAGAGTGACTCACTCTGGGGCACAGAAGAGAGCGGATGGAGCAGGGCAGGGAGAGAGACTGGAATGGCCTGGAAAAGGTGGCAAAAACCAGATTGCAAAGAGGCTTAAATACCTGGTTAAGTATGAATTTTCCTGTAGAAGTGATAGAGGGCTAACAGAGGCTTTTATGCACTTGGGAAGATGATGGAGGGTCGCTGCTCACGAAATACCCATGTCCTGCCCCTGGGCATCTAGGCAGAGGCAGGTGAGGTGCACTCCTTATCTGAGGGCGTTAATAGAGACTCTCGTTCCTGTGGCTGGAGACAGAGGACTTGGAAATGGTGGGATCGCCAGGTGAAGGTGGCTTTGGGAGGGGTCTGGGCAGGGGGACACCTGTCTAGCGCCAGACCGTGTCACGAGAGAGCAACACACCCTTGTGTTAGGCCACTGCCATTTGAGGTCTTATTTGTTACTGTGTTTAAGCCTGCTTTATCCTAACTAATACAAGAAGGCAATACGAAAACAAAATTTAAAAATAAATAAAAAAACTCGGACACGGTGTTAGTACATGCCATTCTCAACCACCCTGTGACGTCGGCACAGAGGTCTCAGCTTTACAGACGTGAAGCGGAAGAGCAGAAAAGTGAAGGAATTCCCCAGAAGTCAGTGCAGTCGGCGGGTGAGGGAACAGGGACTCACTCACACGCGGCTGTGTGAGATTCCGACGTTTTGCACTTGGTGGGATCCCTCCCAGGCTGGCGCACCTGCCACCGACAGAAGCCAAGGCAGTTTTCAATGACGCGCGGATGCAGAAGTTAAATTGCATTAGTTTCGCATTTATTTGAAGGTGAATCGGAACACCACACACCGCACATCAGCCCAGCGATTTCACGGCTGTTATTTGTTCGAGGGAGAACGATGTTCACCAAGTGAGCTGGTTGGTTTGGAGTTCAGGAAGCAGAGTAAATAAACAATGGTAAAGGAACGCGTGGAAACGGCGTGGGCCCAGCCAAACTGGGATGTTTGTGGGTGAGGGACCACGGCAGCGTGCAGCCCTCGCCCCCAATGCGTCTCTGGTCTGCAGATCCTGAGATAACCAGATCTGCTCTTCAGGAAAAGAGCAGAGCCTTGGGTCTCGGGAAGAAGAGACTTATGCCCTTTCCAGGGAGCCACGCCCGCCCCGGGGCTTCTGGCTTTATCACAAATGCTTTCTTGGATAAAACACTAGAGGCTTTAAGTTTCTGGAAACCCGAGGTATGTGAAAACAAGGAGAGGGAACAGTGGGAGCCCTTCACGGCTGCCTGTGTGACTCGCAAGCATTTTTTTTCCCCTCTGGCTCATACCGGACACGCCGTTCCCAATTTTCATTCCTTGGGGTTAAAAGGCTTCACATTCTGAAAACACAAATATTTATTCCCTTTCCTCAGTGTCTACGCTGCACTTCCTCCCCCTAAGCCCTTGCTCTCACTATGGAATGTGGCAGCCACCCCCTTTTCGGGGACCCTATCTCTGCCCCTGAAGGCTTACCTGTGGCACATTTCTGTGGCCCTGCTAATGAGCGGAGGGGTGACACAGAAAAGGGGCCTGTGTTCCTCTGAGGGGTCCATAGAGCAGCCATTCAGACGAGCAGCTGAAAGAGCTATTTCATGGGTCCAGCTGCCACCCCGGCCAAGAGAACTGTGTACCCTGAGGTCCGGCCACAGCCCCATGCATCGAGGAGGGGACCCCGAGCCAGGAGGCTGACGCTCACGTTCCCCTCGTGCGCCTCCAGCAAGGTCGTGGGCAGCACCCTGCACCCCTGCCCCCCCTCCCCACCATGGTCACCGCTGCGGACCCCGCTTTGACCCTTGTTGGCTCACAGGGGAAATGGAACCGTTCGCTGTCTGTTTCTTCTTTCGATTCCTTTCTTCATTTGCTTACGGGATCCCTCGCTCCGGAGTCGTTCCGGGTCCTGAGGTCCCGTGGTGACTGTGATGGGCAAAGCCCCGGCTTGGAGGGTGCTGGTGGCCAGTGGAGGAGCCGGCTAATGCATTCAAGATGCAATTCCAGGAGGTGACAAGCAGAGTGGTCACCATGCCTGCGGTGTCTTTGCAGAAAAGAATCACACTTGAAGGTGGAAGAGGGGGAAGGAACCGGCAGCCTCAGTTGGTGTTTGGAGCTGAGGTGGGGTGGGGAGGAAGCTATGAATGACAGGAATGAATTAAATTTAAAGGGGGAAGGTCAGAGGGAAATGCTTTGGGCTTCCTTGTTCTCTAAAACTGGGGCAAAGAGGGCTGAGGCCCGAGTTCTAGGCGGGCTCTGTCCCTAAACCAGCTGTGTGGCTTCAGGGAAGTCATGGGCTTTTCCAGGCCTCAAATGCCTCATCTGACAAGTGGGCTGATGCCCTTGGAGCTGCTGACCTCACAGGTCTGTCTGGAGAGCAAGGAGACACAGTAAGAGCATGACCGCCATGATTGCCAAAGATCGTGAGAACAGTGGTTGGGGCACTTTTAATTTTTAGTTTGTTTTAAAGTTTTCATTTATTTATTTTGAGAGACACAGACAGTGTGAGCAGGGGTGGGGCAGAAAGAGAGAGAGGGGGAGAGAGAATCCCAAACGGGCTCTGCTCTGCCAGCACAGAGCCCGACGCGGGGCTCAAACTCACGAACCATGAGCTCACGACCTAAGGCGAAATCAAGAGTGGGATGCTCAACCCACTGAGCACTAGGCACCCTGATGATGTCACTTAAAAAAAAAAAGTCCTTACGTTTCTTTTGGAGGTGTAACTTACACAGAGTGAGGCGCATGGGTCTTAAGTGTTATGACCCCATCCCCGGGAAAGATGAGACTCCTTTGACCATCATCTCTACTTCTGTCTTCTCACCGGTCTCCTCACATGGTCCCGGTGAGGGAGGCAAGCCAAGAACTACCATTCGTTCCCAATGCATACCAAGCGGAGCCTCAGAGAGGTTACATCCCCAGCTCTAGGCCACACAGCTGTTCAGTTAACGGGGGTGGATCTGAACCTGGGTCTGTCAGTTGGCCAAGCCGATGCTCTTTCTACTCTATCCTGTCAACTACTGGACCTACACGCAGCGGCAGGGGCCATGCCTGGTTCTCTGTTCCTTTATGGATGAGCCTTTATTCTGCCTTCTCAGCGCAGACCCTGGGCGGGGCCTGGATGCAGAGATGAACCAATCAGACTCTCACCAGCTCTTGGGTGAGACACATGGTGTAGTTGGAAGCACAGGGAGGGGGTCCTGACCTTGGAGGAGTCGGGGAGAGGCAATGCCTCCACCAAGCTACACCCACGCAAGCGGGGGGGGGGAGGGGTAGGGGGCTAGCACGCTGGCCTGGGGCCCTGTTCTGGTGATGATACCTCCTAGAGATGTGGCTTTAGACCAGTCACTTCACCTCTGCTTTTCAGCTCCTCTGCGAAATGGGCGTACTAGTAGCAGCTGCATCCCAGCGCTGTCAGGGCAACCCCATGAGAGAGGCCTGTAACCCCGCTCCTCTAACCCACCTGAGGAGGTGGGCACAGCGAGGCGAAGCCACTTGCCCACGGTCACACAGGCAGGATGCAGCAAACCCGGGTGATCTGGTTTCGGGTCTGTGCTCGCGACCCTTCGCTCTGTGGCCTTGCCTTGCACATGCGTGTCGGTTCGAGCTATGATCTAACAGGGACTCTGTTAGGCAGAGAGGGAAAGGGAGGGAAGGGCGTTCTGGGCGGATGGCCCTGCGGTGCAGCGGCCTGGAGCGGAGCTCTGGGAGGCGCGGCGTAGCTGCACGAGTGTGTGGAGACGCAGGGGAAAGCGTACTGGAGATGAAGGCAGGTGAGAGGACTGTGGGAGGGGTGGGGGGTGAGGGTGCAGGGCAGGGCCCAGGCCTCCGGCCATCGTGCTCGGGCTTCCCTGGGCTTGGAGTGGCGGCTTTGGGTCTGTGCGGGCTCCAGCGCCTGGAGGAGCCACCCTCCGCCCACCCGAGATTTCCTGAGTTCCAGCTGCCGTTCTAGTTCCTTCTGCATGCAAAGGAGCCCTTGTGGTCAGAGGGGCCTCCTGAGCCCAGGCCAGGCGTCTCCCTCCCTCTCTGGGCACACACACCTCCATTCAGCCCGGGCCCCGCCCCCCAAAGGGGCTAGGGGCCCCGGGCAGCCACCCCCCACATCAGTGGGGGGCCCGCCTGGCTTGGAGGCTGGGCAGCGAGGTTGATAAGCCCTGGACCCCAGCGGCCCCACCACTGTGCCGGCTGCTGCCCGCGCGGCCAGAACCATGAGGGCCACCTGTGGCATCAGCCTCGGGCTGTGTGGCCTGCTGCTGCTGCTCCGGGCCCCATGCTCGCCGGGCCTCGCCCCCCCGTCCAGAGGTGAGAGGGTCCCCCGCTGGCCGACAGCCTGGGGAGGGTGGCTGGGTGCTGAGATGAGTAGAGGCTAAATGGGATCCAGAGTGGGTGGGGGAGGGGGGAAGGCAGGGGTGGCAGAAGGCTGGCACCCAGGGGCAGACAGCCATGGTGACACTCGCAAGGGTCTGGACAGGGGTGACCCTCTGTCTGCCCTGTTGGGGGACACGAGGGGGCCTCTCTCTGCAGCCTCAGAGCCTTCCCTGAGGCTCCTTGGCTCCCTGGCCACCCTCAGGGACCGTGCATGGTGCAAAGGCTGGTGTAGGGGGTTGTGAGGACAGAGGCTCCACAGAGGGCCAGCTGACGCCTGGAGCTGCACCGAGCCCGGGGCCGCGCCCATGGCTCCACTGACTGCAGCTCTGGGGTGGCCAGGACTCCATGCCTCCTTCCCCGGCCCTTCTGGCAGGTCTCAGGGTGGGGTCCTACCTGCTGTTCTATTCCCAGAGCTCCAGCCCTGGGCACTAAAGCCTAGAATGCCTCACTTGTCCTGTACAGATGGGGAAACTGAGGCCGGAGAAGGGAGGACCTGTCTAAGACCACATAGTGAGATAGCTCCAGAGCCTCCTGGCTCCTGACCCTTCTGCCCTGGGGTGTGGCTAATTCCCTCACCCGCTTTGGGTCTCAGTTTACCCATCTGTAGCTTACCCATCTGTAGCCTTAACTAGTAGGGACCCAGGAGTGTGGCTGCAAGGTCATTTCTAAAGCCCGTCAAGGGACTCTGACACCTAGGGTGCTGTGGTTGGGGGGCTGGGACTGCCCAGCAGACCGTCCCTTTCTAGATCCTTCCTCCATGCTCACTGGGGAGCAGCTCTGCTTGGTTCTGGGACGCAGAGGGAGGGGCCTTTGTACCGAGCCCTGCCCAGTTGCAGGCCCAGGCCAGTGACAGCATCAAGCAGCGAGCCTTATTCTCCCCACTGCACAGGTGGGAAAAACAAGGCTCCTAAAGGTGAAATGAGCCGCCCAGGGCCGCAGGGTGGCTGAGCCGGGACTCAAACCCCGCTCTGTCTCATCCCAGCTCCACGCACTTCCCAGCACATGCTGCTGCCTCCCGGGGTGCCTGGAAAGACCTTCTTCTAGGGGATACAGAGCCTGCCTGCTCAGGCCGCCAAGGTGGCCTTGAGGAAACCCTGTCCTGCCCTCAGCCAGGGACAGCAGCCAGCAGCCCCTGCGGCTGAGGAAAGCTGGGTCCACTTCGGGGACTGGCTTTGATGCTGAGATGAAAGAGGCCAAGCTCCAAGCTCATGGGCACTGCACTGGACCCCGGGGCTGTGCCCTCCACGACCCCTCTCCCACCCCAGAGAATGCTGCCCTTGCTACGGCAGGAACTCTGGGCTGAAACCCGAGAAGTGTGATTTAAAGGCTGACTTCCTGGGGCGCCTGGGTGGCTCAGGTGGTTGAGTGTCCAATTTCGGCTCAGGTCATGGGTCTCACGGCTCATAGGCTCGAGGCCCGCCATCGGGCTCTGTGCAGACAGCTCGGAGCCTGGAGCCTGCTTGGGATTCTGTGTCTCCCTCTCTCCCCTCTCTCTGCCCCTCCCCCACTGGTGCTCTGTTTCTCTCTCTCTCTCAAATATAAACAAACGTTAACAAAATTTAAAAAAATGAAAGGCTGTCTTCTCCTTCGGTGCCTCCTGGACACCTGCTTCGTGCCCAGCCCAGCAGGCCCCTAACCCCTGCTCGTGACCCTGGAGGAGACTGCCAGCTCGTGTGCAGACTCACCGTACGGGGGAAACTGAGCTCAGACAGGTGAAGTGAGTTGCCGGAGGGGGACTGAACCTCTGTCCCTCCCATGGGCTGAGCTGTGGGGCCTTTGGCCAATGGTCTGCCCTGGGGTCCACACCCTGACAGAGCGGTCCAGCCGGCCTGGCCCAGGTTCAGTCAACGCTGCCCAAGGCCTCGAATCTCGGTCTAAGCAGCCCCTGACCTCCGCCCCCTGCCCTTTGCCTCCCCACTCCCGCCCCCTCGCAGGGCACCTCTGCCGGACCCGGCCCACGGACCTGGTGTTCGTTGTGGACAGCTCGCGCAGCGTGCGGCCCGTGGAGTTCGAGAAGGTGAAGGTGTTCTTGTCCCAGGTCATCGAGTCGCTGGACGTGGGGCCCAACGCCACCCGGGTGGGCGTGGTCAACTACGCCAGCGCCGTGAAGCAGGAGTTCCCGCTGCGCGCCCACAGCTCTAAGGCGGCGCTGCTGCGGGCCGTCCGCCGCATCCGGCCGCTGTCCACCGGGACCATGACCGGTCTGGCCATCCAGTTCGCCATCAGCAAGGCCTTCAGCGATGCCGAGGGGGGCCGCGCCAGGGCCCCCGACATCAGCAAGGTACACGTCCGCCCCTCTCCCCCCCATCTCCCGTGCCAAGAGCTTCACCTGCGTGATTCCCAAAACCTCTGCCTTATAGTTGTGTATTAGACCCACCGGAGCTAAGTGGCGGAGCTGGGATTTGAGCTCAGATATGGCCCCAGGACCTCAATCTGGCGAGCCCTTGATTATCTCAGTTTAGCTGACCTGGGCTCCCCAAGGCAGAGTGAGGTAGTCCAGATGCTTCCTGATGGAACTGTCTGGATTCAAGCCCCCACTCCACCCTATGGGCTGTGCCGCCCTGAGCAATCTATGCATCTCACTGACTCAGTTTCCCTTACCTAGGAAATGAGAGCAACATAACTCCTTCCCTAGGGGCTGTGGGGAGGACTCGGATTTCAGAGCCTAAAGTGACCAGAAGAGAACCTGGTTGCAATAAGTTTCATGTACTAGCTCATTCTTAAAAAGAATTTGTTTATTTTTTTAGACAGAGAGAGTGCAAGCAGAGTAAGGGTGGGGAGGGGGCAGAGAATCCTAAGCAGGCTCTAAACTCTCAGCACAGAGCCCAACATGGGGCCGGATCCCACGAACTGTGAGATCATGACCTGAGCCAAGATCAAGAGTCAGACGCTTAACCGACTGAGCCATCCAGGCACCCCAGCTCATTTTTTATTGAAAGCCTTCAAGGGCAGGGATTCTGAAAAATGCCATGATATACCACAAGATGACATCAGTGAGGGCTCCAGGCAGGGTGCTGAGGGACTTCACAGAACTGGTGCCTGCAGTGTGATTTTCCAGGACTCCGCCCAGGGCCTGTGAGGTCGGTCAGGTGTTCTCTCCTCCCCTAAGCTCCCGCACCTCCCCTTCAGAGCCCTCAATGGCCCCAAAGAATCACCGTTTATCTGTCCAGGCCTCCCCTCCCCCCACCAGGGTATGTACTCCTTATCCCCATGCAGCACACTCCTGAAATACAAGTGCCCAATGAATGCAGTCCTGCTCGGAGGTGGTGCCCTCATTTTACAGATGGGGAAACTGAGGCACGGCGGACTTAAGCATCCTGCCCAGTTAATAAGTGGTAGGCATGTTGACAGACAATAGCATATAATCCTGGCCATGACAGGCCTCGAAGAGATGGCCCATTTGGTCTTACTTTGTGAGGGCCATTTACAAGCTCTGACACGAGGTTGACGGTCATGATCACTGGGAGGGTGTGGTGGCCTGGGGTGACCCTAATGGAGAGGGGTGGTGAAGGGGATGGTGTGGACATCTGTAGCTGTCACACCTCCAGTTATGTGTCCGCCCAGATCAGCCCAGTGGCCTGGGGTGGGCAAGTGAGGAGAGAGGGATCTGTTGGGTGTGGGTGAGTTGGAGGGCCAGCCTGAAATTCACCTGTGGGAAGCCCCGACAAGGCAGGTTCATAGTTCCAAAGCTGGACTGATGGGGGCAGTGGGCCTCGGGGGAATGGGACAGTCTGCGGCAGTGGACGGTCAAAGCAAGGCGAGCCTAGGTCTCGGGGGTGGGGGTGGGGGCGGGGGCGAGGAGAGATGCTTCGAGATCACCCCCCTGGGGTCCACGGGAGTGATACAAAAAATTATAGTCCCCCTTCCTGGCTTCTTACCGTGAATCATCTCACCAGGATGACTCAGGAAGGTGAGCTGCATTTCCAACCCAGGCCTGCCCTAACCACCATAATACGGGTCACCAGGACAGGGGTTTGGGCCCTGGAGGCCAAGGTGGGGGGGCAGGAATCAGAAGGGAAGGGACCCAGGGATCAGAAGCAGACCTAAGGGCGGAGAGACCCAGGGCTCAGAAGCAGACCCAGGTCAGAAGCAGAGGAGCAGCCAGTAGGGCGGGATTCCGAGCCCCAAACTTGAGCAGGGCTGTGAGCAGGCCCGGCACCTGTGTCTCCCTTTCTAGGGTAGAGAGGAGCGGTGTGGGAGGGGAGCCGACAGTGCTGTCCTCTACGGAAAGGGCATGTAGCATCCTGGGGGAACGGAGGGAGGAAAGGGCTGCATCCTCCGTCTGTGGGAATGGCCCCTTCCCAGGGCCTAGAGGGGAAGAAGGATGGCCAGACTGGAGGCCCAGACGCCGTTCGCTAGCCTCGCCCGCCCTCTGGTGGCCAAATGGCAGAACTGCATGGTGCCGGGCGCACTTCCTCAGCCCGGTGCTCAGAGGCCCCAGTCTGAGGAGGAAGGCTGGGTCCTGCGGTCAGATGATCACAGAAGTGCCTGCCTGAAGGGGGAGAGATCAGAAGCCTTAGTCAGATGGGAGAACACCTCAGCCAGGTCTTTCAGTCAGAGGAAACCAGTGTCCTCTTCTGCTAGCCAGGTTCTCGGCCCTGGGGCAAGACCGTGGCGTGGAGTCCGATCCACCTGTAGCGAACTAGCTTGTAGGACCTGGGCAAGCCTGGCAGGCCCCTCGGGCCTCTGTGTCCCCTGCTAGTGGCCCCGGGAGCTTACTGGAGGGCCCAGCCCAGCTCGGGAGAAAGGCCTGGTCCTCTCACGCGCCCCGCGTGTCGCAGGTGGCCATCGTGGTGACGGACGGGAGGCCCCAGGACAGCGTGCGGGACGTGTCTGCACGGGCCCGGGCCAACGGCATCGAGCTGTTCGCCATCGGCGTCGGCCGCGTGGACAAGGCCACGCTGCGGCAGATCGCCAGCGAGCCGCAGGACGAGCACGTGGACTACGTGGAGAGCTACAGCGTCATCGAGAAGCTGTCCAAGAAGTTCCAGGAGGCCTTCTGCGGTGCGCGGGGCTGGGCGGGGCTGGACAAGGCTGCGGGGCTTCAGGGGAAGCAAGGGACTGGAGGCGGGGCCACGAGTGGGCGTGGCTGAGAGCATGGGGCGGGGCCGGAGGGGACCGGACTCAGTCCGAATCCTGATGGCCAGGGCCCTGTGGAACCGGGATGTACAGAGTCCAGCCTGAGGGTCGGGGCGGGGCCAGGGATGGGGCGTGGCTAGAAAGTTAATAGGGGAGGGGCTGAACAGGGCGAGGCTGAGAGGGTCTGCACAGTGGTGGCCAGTGATTCTGGCCCAGGACTGAGGGTCTGGGGGTTGGACCTCACCTAGTTGGGGGCTTCAGTTTCTCTGGGTGTGAAGGACATCCTGGCCGAACGCCCAGGACCCTGTGACTGAGCTTCTGAGTCTCCTCTTGTCCCCACAGTGGTATCAGATCTGTGTGTCACAGGAGACCACGACTGTGAGCAAGTGTGTCTCAGCTCCCCGGGCTCCTACACCTGCGCCTGTCGGGAGGGCTTCACCTTGAACAGCGATGGCAAGACCTGCAATGGTCAGTGGGCTGGATGCAGGCAAGACCCGGGGAGGGTGGGGAGGGGAGGGGCTGGGGCTTGGCCACTCTCTAGGGAGCCCATCTGAGCCTCTCTGCACTTTGTTTCTGGACCAGTCTGCAAAGGTGATAGATGCCTTCTAGAACTTGGTGTCTGCAGAAAGTTACCTTCTGAGTTCTGTCCCCCTTTCTGTCGTGGTGGGTGGTATGGTGGAAGGAGTTACATAGCCTTGAACTCAAATCTTGGTGCCACTGCTTCTGAGCTGTGTGATGCTTTTGGAGCCTCAGTTTCCAATGCCATATGAGATGAGGCCAGAAGCCTTGGCTTTCTAGGGGGAGTTCTGAGGTACAGAGTACAAGTACAGAGGTACCTTGAGGTACAAGTACAGAGGTACCTTGAGGTACAAGTACAGAGCTTTGTGCGTGAGCGGTACCTGCTCAGAGGTCGGGACAAACAGCCAGTCCCTCAGCCCCACCTCCTCGCCTTCCTGCCCTTCCCAGTCTGCAATGGCAGTGGTGGCAGTTCGGCCACTGACTTGGTATTCCTCATCGATGGATCCAAAAGCGTGCGGCCAGAGAACTTCGAGCTGGTGAAGAAGTTCATCAATCAGATCGTGGACACACTGGACGTGTCAGACAAACTGGCCCAGGTGGGGCTGGTGCAGTACTCCAGCTCCGTCCGTCAGGAGTTCCCGCTGGGCCGCTTCCACACAAAGAAGGACATTAAGGCAGCTGTGCGAAACATGTCTTACATGGAGAAGGGCACCATGACCGGGGCCGCCCTCAAGTACCTCATTGACAATTCCTTCACCGTGTCCAGCGGGGCGAGGCCCGGTGCCCAGAAGGTGGGCATCGTCTTCACTGATGGCCGGAGCCAGGACTACATTAATGATGCTGCCAAGAAGGCCAAGGAGCTCGGTAGGTGCTGTCTGGACCCTGAACACCACTAATGGCCAGGACGGCATGTGGAACAGCTCGACTATAGTCTCTGTTCTGATTGCTGCCTTAAACCAAGGTTCAGTGTGAATGAGGAGGGGTTGGTTTATCCAGGTCTTTCCTTCTTTCTTTCTTTTAATGTTTATTCATTTTTGAGACAGAGAGACAGAGAGCAAGCTGGGGAGGGTCAGAGAGAGAGGGAGACACAGAATCAGAAGCAGGCTCCAGGCTCTGAGCGTCAGCACAGAGCTGGATGCGGGGCTCAAACTCACAAACTGCGAGATCATGACCTGAGCTGAAGTCGGACGCTTAACTGAGCCACCCAGGTGCCCCTAACTCTTTTTTATACTAATGAGGAAACGGCCCCAGAAAAGCAAGCAGCTAGTTCTGATGGCACTTATGTAGGTAGGGCTGGGAAATGTTCCAGTTGAAGGTTCCCAAGGACACACCAACTGCTGGAATGGCAGCCCCACTTTGGGATGAGCCCGAGCCTCAGTTTTATTGCCTATTCAGTGAGGGTAGTAACGGCCACCAGATGGACGGTTATGGGGTATATGAGCTTACAGAGCTCCCAGTACAGGGAACCCGTGCGGGTCTGACAGGCAGTAGAATCTCAACGAATGCTCATTTCCCCACTGTCTTTGTCCCACAATTCCTACCGGCCTTTGTGCCTGCAATTCCAGAAGCTGCCACCAGGAGGTGTCTGTGTTGATTGCCTGGGCATTCCCCAGCAGGCTCAGCCGCCGCTGCCCTGTCCCCCCGTGGCCGCTGCCACTCATCTCGTTCCTCTCTGCAGGCTTTAAGATGTTTGCCGTGGGCGTGGGCAATGCCGTGGAGGACGAGCTGAGGGAAATCGCCTCGGAGCCCGTGGCAGAGCACTACTTCTACACGGCCGACTTCAAGACCATCAACCAGATCGGCAAGAAGTTGCAGAAGAAGATCTGTGTGGGTTAGTGAGGCCAGAGATGGCACTGATGGGAGGGGCAGGGGCTGGGGTCTCCCGGGGGAGATTGTGGAGCCCCCCCGGGACTGGACGTGGTGGGGACAAGCAGCAGGGGCCGGGGTGACACCAAGAGCTGGTAGAACCATGAGGAAGGCTGGCCAGTCTAACTCTGGCGACCAGCAAACATACTCTGAACTCTTGTTACATGAGTGGTACTGTTGTTAGGACTCTCCGAATAGTAAATCATTCGATCCTATGTGGTAGGATATGATCACCCCCATTTTACAGACAGGAAAGCTGAGCCCAGAGGGGTGGAACAGAAATTAATAACCGGAGGAGCTAGGAGCTGAACGCTACCACCTCCCCTGATCCTCCCAGGGGCAGAGGACGCGGATTCCAGAGCCAGACAGGCCTGGGTTTGCCATGTTTGCTCTGGCACTAGCTAGCTCTTGGCCACAGACAAGTTGTTTCCCTTCCCGGTTCTTTATTTGTAAAATGGGGTTAATGATTTCAACCCTAAAGTGTTGGGCAAAGTCACCAAGAGGACATAGAGGCTCCTGGCGGCTGTGTCCTGCGCCTAGTAGGTGGCCAGCATGGGGATGCTATTTTGGGGGGTTTCATCAGGGCTCTGAGGGGCTGGGAAGCCATTCGGGGTCTCCCCCTCCGTCACTCCTGAGAGTTCTGTCTCAGAACCCTACTGGCCTCTCTGTCTCCCCAGATCTCCCAGACCCCACACTCCCCCAAGACTGCCTCCTCCTGGCCCCTGGTGGTGTCTGCTCGGCGCCCCCCCTGCCTCCCCACCACTCACCACCCCCCTCTCACCCCCCCTCTTGTCCACTCCAGAGGAAGACCCGTGTGCCTGCGAGTCCCTTATGAAATTCCAGACCACGGTGGAGGGGCTGCTGCAGGCCCTGACCAGGAAACATATCCTTTCCCAGAGGCCACTGCGGGGCAGGGGGCGGGGCAGGGCACTGCGCCCCTTGCATGGGGGTGGGGGGTGGGGCTCCGCCTTGCCTGCCTCCCGCTGGAGACAGCTGGTATGAGCAGTGAGTGGATCAGCTTTGGGACTGATCTGTCCGAGGCAGAGGCTGCTAGAGGCCCAACAGAGAAACTGAGGCAGAAGCCGAGCTCTAGAGACTGGCCACGCACTGGGAGTCCAAGCCTTGCTCAGGAAATCACGGTGCCCGTGGACTCCCCGTTTCTCAGGGTCTCTGACATGACTACTCCCAGTCTCGGCTCAGATGGGGCTGGGAACAGCTCCCCCCCCCCCACCCCCGCCCCTTCCCAGTCAGTCAGGATGAGGGGGTCCCGGGTCGGGGGCCCAGCAGGCCTGAAGCGACGGCTGCGCGGGGCTGGGCGTGCAGGGCGCACAGCACCGGGTGGGGGGAGCACCGTTGCGAGGGCAGTGACTGGGTCAGATCTGACGCTGGGGAGGACACGCCCTGGAAGAGGGGCTCTCGGGGGCGGGGAGCGGGCACAGGAAGTGGGGTCCCGAGCAGGCCATCGCGCCCACTCTGGTCAGCCCTCTCCTTAACCCCGAGTCCACTGGAAGTTGTGAATAAGCGGCTGGCCGTCCTGGAGAACACAGTCGTCTGAGGCTGCCCGTCCCCGCCACGGCCTCTGCGTGTCCCCGCCCCCGCACAGCCCGCGGAGTCCTGCGTGTGGCCCCGAGAGCCCGGCTTTCGTTTCGCTTTGCTGTTTCCGTGAGAGGGGTTTGGGGAGGGGGAGGCCCTGAGGGCACCAGGCCTCCCTCTCCCCCGCCACCCTGCCGGCCCTGCTGGGTGCGAGTGTGAGTGTGTGCTAGGAGTGTGGCAGCGTCTGGGAGCGTGTGTGCGCGCGCGCGCGCATCTGAGGGCGAGTGTGTTCTCTCCAGCAGGGGTGCGTGTGTGTTGTGAGTGAGAACACAGGGGTGAGTGTGGGAGGGACTTCGTTTGCATTTTGTTCAATCAAAAGCTTAATATATTCCTATTTTTTTAGTTAACCCTTTCTTGGATGCAAGTGCTGTGAATCTCTTTTCTGAGTTTTCGACTCCCTTTTGAAAAACAATTAAATGCCATGTAAGTTAAGCCCTGAATGCGGAGGCCTGTCACGGCGTGGTCATTTGGGGAGCCGGACAAAGGAGCGGGGAGGGAGGCAGGTAAAGGGGGGCCCTTGCGGGGTGGTCACAGTGGCGGTCCCAGCGGGGCAGGCGGCTACTCCGAAGCCAGTGCACCTGCGTCCTGCCTGTGCAGGGTCTCACTTCTTCCTCCAGCCTCCTTGAGTCGCCCCCATTGTAGAGGTGGGAAAGCTGTGTCAGCGGGAAAGCATCCGTGCCAGTTGGAGATAGGACTTGAATCTAGGACTGCAAGACATCAAAGAGAGAGAAGAGCAAGGGCACCCAGTAGGCCCACTCACTCACTCACTCACTCACTCATTCATTCATTCATTCATTCACTCACTCATTCATTCATTCATTCCTGCATGTAGACCGCAAACACAGAGCACATGTCCATGGCGAGCTGGGGGGAGATGGCAGCCTAGGAGACAGACATGGTCCCTGAGCCCTTAAGGGACTTACAGTTGAGTAGAGCGCCCTGTCACCCTCACGCCCACTGGAGGAAGAATGGGATTAGGGTGTGCCAGGAGCCCATGGGCTGAGTGTGTGTGTGTGTGTGTGCGTGTGATTTAGAGATGGCAGGAGGGTCCCGGCTGCTCCTGGGCTGGCCCCAGGTGCTCCCTGAGCCCCCGAATCCACACTGGAGTGCTCTCTGTCATCTCCTTGTGCTTCAGCACCTTCACCTTCACCCCCAACACGGGCAGCGACAACCCCCACCTCAGGGATGGCACACGAGAAGGACTCTCGACCTCCCTGTCCACCACCCCCCCCAGTCCTGCCGGGATCTGCTGGCCTCCCCCAGCTCCCTCTAGAGCAGTGCTCCCCACCCCTGTGCAATCTCAGCCCCTCGTCTCCCAGAGGGGAGCTTGGGTGATTTGGAGAACCCATTTCTGTGTGAGAGAGCAATTTTAGTGTTACTGCTAGATTCACACCCAGAGCACACGGAAGACTTTTACGGGGACCCTGAGAGGCCTTCCTTAGAGGCGGCTTAAGCAGGCAGAACTGCACCACCGCACGCTCCGCACGTAGTGGTTTAAAACAGCTGCCTGCTATTGGCCTGGGCACCCTCGTTTGGGTCTCGACCAGGCTGCAGCCTCCGGCATGGCCCGCTCACCTGCACCAGGCCGCTGCTGGGGAGCCCTGGCTGCGAGGCTGGGCCGCTCTCTCCATCTCTCTCCCTGCAGTCTCAGGCCCTTGCCCTCTCTTCACAGGCTCTCCAGCAAGGCAATGGGGCTTCTCATGTGTCAGCGCAGGGCTTCCAAAAGCTTTTTAGGTCTACGGCCCCACATTGGCCGTGTGTGACTTCACACTTTTTTAAAAAAAATATTTATTTATTTTTGAGAGAGACAGAGTGTGAGTGGGGGAGGGGCAGAGAGAGAGGGAGACACAGAATCTGAAACAGGCTCCAGGCTCGGAGCTGTCAGCAGAGAGCCTGACGCGGGGCTCGAACTCATGGACCGCAAGATCATGACCTGAGCTGAAGTCAGATGCTCAAGTGACTGAGCTGCCCAAGCGCCCCAGCACTGTTTTGATCAGAGCAGTTTCAGGCCAGCCCAAATGCAAGGCGTGGGGAGGCACACTCCACTTCTCCATGGGGAGGGGGCAAAGAAGAATTGGCCGCCACTGGTACTCCATGTCAGGGTCACATTCCTTGGCGCCCTTCTCGGGCTCCATTCCCTGCCCCTTGGCTGTTCATAGGACATCCAGGAAACCCTCTCATCAATGTTAGACGTGGCTGAGCCCAATTCTGTTCCATGCAGTCCGAGAGAGCCCTGACTCAGCTGATCTGTCACCTCTGTCTCCTCCCCACGTGGTGGCCTTGGCATCCTGCCTCACTCTTCAGCCTGGGGACCACCCTGGGCTCCAGCCCTGAGCCTCAGCCGTCTGGCAATGAGGCGGGGCCCTTCGGCCCTCTGGGTCCCCCGTCCGCATCCAAGGAGAAGGATACGGGCGCCCCCTCACGGGCGCTAGAATGTGGAAATGAGAAGATGTGTGGGGAGCGCCCAGCACAGCGCCCACTCTTGCTTCGCATCCGGAGTGCCTCTAGGGGGTGGTTCGCTGGCCTCAGGGCCACACCCAGACCTGACCATTCCTCCACACCTCCCTCATTCCCAGCTGGCTCTGGTTGTCCCTCAAGACACTGTGGCCACCTGGACACCTGTGCCCCGCTGGAAGATGGCCCCAGACCGTGCACGATGGCTCTGGCCCACCTGTGTCACATTAATGGGGACCCGTCTTCCAGCTCCACCAGGAGGCCAAGACGGGGACAGCCTGGCCTCCGGCCTGAGTGTGCCCGGGCTCAGCGGGCCGAGGTGTGGAGGGTGGTGTGAGCTGCAGCTCCCGGGGACAGCCAGCCGGCTCCCTGACTTATCCCACAGCAGGCGGTGGCCAGCACCCATGCCAGGCCCTCTTCCAGGCACCAGGGGAAGGATGGAGCCCAAAGGCAGACGCCAGTCCCTGTGCGCCCCTGGGCTGGCGCTTCAGCCTCACTGTATTTCTCGCTCTGTGGGCCGGGACATGCCGTCCCCTCTTGCTGTGGACTTTAGTGCCTCATTCGTGACATGGAAAGATGACCCAGAAATAAGGAGCAAAAACAAGGAGAATCTCCAAAGGGGGGAATGGTGTCCCTCAGAGACCAAAGGCTGTTAGTGCTTCCTTTGTGAAGTTGGACGAGACAGAGAGTGCCCAGGGCGCCTGTCTGGCCTGGCAGAGACCAGGCATCAGGCTCCGAGCCTCCAGGGACTGTCCCATGGGGAAGGGATGGCGGAGGGCTTATTGGCTCTGTCTTTGGGGTCAATGGTCCTGGTGCGAGGCCCCCTGAGCCCCTTGCCCTGGACAGGCACCTTCGTCCTCTGACTCGGCTTCCTCGACAGTAAAGATGGCAGCGGGTCACCCCTCACAAGTGGTCGTGTTGCGGGCTCGCAGACAGAGGGCTTGGCGTGCTTGTGGGCAGCCCTGCAGGGCTCCCTGGGAGAGGCGGCTTCGCAGGGACCTGTGGGCACGTGGAGGGGAAATCTGGGCGTGTGGAGGGAGGTGGTGCTGGAAAGGAGCCTATGACTCGAAGGGAGGGGCAGGGACCGTGAAGTCAGGCTGTGGGGCTCTAAGGGCAGTTCTGGTCTTAGCCCACCCACCCCATTCTTTCCTTCCTCCCCCCTTCCTTCCTCCCCATCTCCTCCCTTCCCCATTTCCTGAGTATTGCCAAAGGACAGAGCCTGCACCAGGCACTCAGGACAAAATAGAAAATGCCTGATGGTCTCTGACCTCACGGTGCTCCCAGTCTAGAGGGGCAGACAGACAGTGGACAGAAAGCTTCACGGGGAATGCAGGGAATCTGGCTGTGGTAGGCGGCTGAGGACTTAGTGTGCCTTACCAAGGGGCATATCACGGAAGGTCTTATCAAACCATGTGGAGGCAGAGGAGGCTTCCTGGAGGAGGTGGACCTAAACACGAATCTGAGGGCGCTTTGGGAGTTAAGGAGGTGTGTGTGTGTGTGTGTGTGTGTGTGTGTGTGTGTAAGAGTGTGTCAAGTGGAGGGAGCAGCATGTGCAAGGATCCTGAGGAGGGAAGTGTGCAGACCTCTAAGAGCCTGGATGCAGCTACCTGTGGTGGGCCCGGAGTGCAGGCCTAGGATGGGTGGGACAGGGACTCCACCTGCAAGGTGGCCTGAGGCCATCGGAGGGTTTTGGGTAAGGAGGTGGCATGATTAGACATAAGGATGGGACTCCAATTAGAAATGGGATTCATGTTTATTCCCGACAAAACTGGATGGGGTGTGAGGCGGGAAGTGAAGAGACCTCAGGCGGACGGGCAGGGACGGAATGTCCCCATCTCACACCCAGGGAGGTGTGGCCACCCTGCGGGGTCATGTGCAGGGCGGCTGACCTGCCTGTCGCAGGGAGGAAGTGACCCCCTCCAGCTGGATTCAAACCTTACCTGTAGTGCTGTGGCACCAAGGGGACAAATCCTTCTGGTGATCCTATGGTAGCATCAGTGTGACCCGTTTTACAGGTGACAGACTTGTCCAAGTCAGTGCAGGAACGATTCCTAGGTTGACCCAAGGCTGAGGCCTTTCTTGAGAGCAATGCAAACTTAACTTTACTGCCCAGGACAGGGGGTGTTAAGCTCTGGGCACACAGTAGGTGCTCATCAGATCCCAGGGGCCAGTCTCTTCCCCTGTCATCCGCCCAGTGGTCAGCAGGCCACAGCTCAGCAGAAGGTGGACCTGGCCCCTGAGAAGCCTGGACCCGGGGGATCCAAGGGAGAGAGGCAGGTTTGGACCCCCACAGAGGGGGCTTGTTGGGAGCCATGCAGGGAGTGAGTGTCCACCAAGCCAGCTGGGGGCTGGAGAAGGTGCTGGACAGGGAGACTGATCAGAACCCAGAGGCTAGAACTGACGGGCCCGAGGCTGTGGTTGGCCTCGCACCGGGTCAGGGCTGGCTCAGGCTCCCGTCCAGGCCGAGCAAGGTGGACTGGGGAAATCGGGGGCCTCTGGAGCCGAGCCTCAGGATTTTCTTTGAGGCTCATACTTGGAGGGGGGTATGCGCCCAGAACTCACCCATTTTGGAGCTGAGGAGGGCCGCTTCCTGTTTCCAACAGTCCTTCCCAAGGCATCCCACGGGAGGAGGGAGAGTACCAGGGTGGCTGGTGGGAGGGGCAGGTCAGGCCAACCCCCGAGACTGGACCACGGGCACCGCGGGCCGGAACGGGCTGAGCTAGGGCTCTGTGTTGCAAGTGACAGAAACGCCACACCAGCCAGCTTCCGCACAAGGTGGGAGCTGATGGGACCACGTGCCAGAGGTGCTGGGCTCGGCGATGCCTTCAGGCTTTCAGCTCTCTGTGCTCTTGACTCCCCTCCACCCCAGCGGCCTCGTGTCCAGCCAAGCGCCCCTCTCAAGATGGACCCAGGGCCCAAGCTCACCCCTGGCTGGCTCTGAGCTCACGGACTTCAGCCTCTTTGGCTCAGATTG